CACAGTTCACAATGTTCAGTGCCTTTGGTTAGAGAGGTGTTTCATGTGAAAGAAAGGTTATGATTTTCCAGGCACTGGTGACAAACTTTCTCCAGATAAATAATTTGCAACCTAATCTCTTCTACTCCAGAGCTGCAGAGGCTCTTATTCCGTTATTTTTTTTTTGGAAAGGGGAGGGGAGACAAATTATTATTATTATTATTAGAATACATTTCTTTGATCCAACAATCACCCCGTAGGGCTGGATATAAAAATTGTCATATATCATGTCAGAGACAAACAGTCACATGCAATAAAATACAGATAAACATTAAATGTAATATGTAAAATCTAAAGTACAAAGTAATAATAAATCAAGCCTCTTGGAAAACAATACAAGTTGTCAGTAAATAAAACATAAAAATATAAAATAATAAATAAAGCCTTTTGCAAAAAAGCGCAAGTTGTCAATCCAATTATAACAAATTAGAAAGGAAAATATTCACTCTGTTGACAACATCAATCAACTAGAATTGATACAACTCAACTTTCCAGTTCTTAGTTTAAATAATAGATGTTAGAACAATTGAGAACAGCCCTCTTGACTTAGAACAAAGACAGGACCAACAATAAGTTTTGACTGACTATTTACTCTGCATTTATTTTTATGCTTCTTACATGGTCAACAAATTCCTCAATGGAGTACAAGGAATTTCTTAATAAGTATCTTTTTAAAGCAACCCTAAATTGATCTTTATCCATTCTTAACATTGAGATACTGTCTGGTAACATGTTAAAGAACCTAACACCTGAGTGATACACGCCCCTCTGATACAACAACAAATGAGAAGCAGGCATATGAAAAAGATTATTATTCCTAGTGCCAATCGTGTATATTGTATTATTTATCAAAAACTTGTCACAGTTTTTTACAACAAAAGTCAATAGTGATAACAAGTATACACAGGGAATTGGCAATATTCCCAGCTTCTTAAACAGATCACGACATGAGTGAGTTGGTCCAACTCCCATCATTATTCTTATTGTTTTCTTTTGCATACGAAAAACTTTAAGACAATCAGGGGTATTACCCCAGTATATTATGCCATATTTCATTAAAGAATGATAATATGCATAATAAACAGATTTTAAGTTATTTTTGTTTAGAATATAAGATAATTTTCGCATTTGGAATCCAACCATACTCAATTTATGAAGTAACTGATTTACATGCACCTTACAAGTCAGATGATTATCAATCTGTAAACCCAGAAATGTTGTAGCTTCAGCTGTTTTGAGTATTGTGTTAAGAAGCATAGTTGTTAGCAGATAATCAGTATGTATTGTTGGTATAAACTTTATAATTTTTGTTTTGTCAAGATTTAATGCAAGAAGATTTGCCTGAAACCACCTACTCATATGACTACAATATTATAGTCCTTGGCTGTACAGACAATACCTGTGTCATCTGCAAACATTATGACTTCAGAAAATTCTCTTATTTCAAGGGGAAAATCGTTGATATAAATATTAAAAAGTAGAGGTCCCAAGACTGAACCCTGTGGCACACCAGAGCGAACTAGCTCCCAGTCTGAATTATATTTGTTATTGGTATATTTTAGTTCAACCCTTTGTTTCCTATTTTGAAAGTAAGATTTAAACCATTGTAGAAATAAACCCTGGACACCATAATATTGGAGTTTGAATAACATGAGTTTGTGATCTACACAGTCGAATGCCTTGGCTATATCACAGAATATGCCGACTGTATATTCTTTTCTGTCCCAAGCAGTTAGTATTACATTAGTTAGTCTGAAGATCGCATCTTCGGTAGATAATCCTTTTTGAAATCCAAATTGCTGTGGGAGTAATATTTTGTGCTTTGTAATATGATCATTGAGTTTAATAGTTTAATAGAAATTCACTCAAATCCAATCCACAGGATATGGGTGAAGTGATATTGAACTTCCTTATGGAGCTGAGCCCTTCTTGAGAAGCTGTAAATTGTGCAGCCACTCAAGAATTTTCCAGCATTTTGTAGAACTCGAAGGTTCATTACTGTGTTCACAAGAGTCCTCCACTGGCCCCTATCCTGAGCCAGATCAGTCCAATCCATACCATACCATTCTATTTCACTAGGATACATTTTAATATTGTCCACCCACCTATGCCTTGGTCTTCCCAGTAGTCTCTTTCCTTATGAGTTTCCCTCCAATATCCTATATGCATTCCTCGCCTCCCCCATTAGTGCTACATGCCCTGCCAACCTCATCCTCCTGTACTAGTGATATTCTGTGTTCAATATCACTAGTCGAGGAGGATGAGGTTGGCAGGGCATGTAGCACGAATGGGGGAGGCGAGGAATGCATATGGGATATTGGTGGGAAAGCCAGAAGGAAAGAGACTCTGCAGTACAAG